CTTCGCTGCGGCCGTGACGCAAGGGCTTCGAAGCAGCAGAACGGAGGCCCCTCTCCTTCCCAGTTGGCTTCCACTAAGAACTTATTAAATAGGGACGGTTTAGAGTTGATCTGTCACTGAGCACTACTTACCCCGAGATCTTTTGGTTTTTGAATTACTTTATTGATTGAAGATTTTGTTCTTTGGAATGTGACCCTGTTTGGACTTAGAGCTAATCAGGAAGCGCCGCCGGGGAGGGCGCTTTGTAATCACTTCGCGGACCTCCCCCGCGGGCACCGCCGACCCTTCCCCGGTGCGCCCCCTGCGGTCGCCCAGGCTTTGCAGGAAACCCTCCAGCCTCCGGGACTCCGCTCCCCAGCGCGTCCTGGGAGCTGTCTGTGGTGCTAGGAGAGAGAAACGGGAGAGGGAGGCCCGAGGGGAGACAAAAGGAGAGGCAGAGAGCAGAGAAACTGACAATGCGAGGTTGGCTGAGACCGTCCACTCAGCAACACTCAGACTGACAGAGGCCTTCAAAATTCAGCCGGAAGAAGGGGAGGAAAAAAGTCCCTTCTGGGTCATCTCATCTCCCTGAGACAGCTGACCTGATTTTCCAATGCGAAAGGCCAGTGATACCTCCCTCTCTCTGAATGCACACAACCCTTATCCCACACACTTAGCCCTACTAAACCCTGGGGGTGTTCAACCTGCCAGAAGAAGGGAGGGGCACACAGGCCCCAACTTCAGGCAAAGAGGCATGGGTAGAGAGGAAAGCTGGAACTGGCCAAGAAGCGGGGACTGAACAAAGACCTATTGGGAGACTCAAGAAGTCTAGAGGCGTTGTTCCAGGGTTCATGGAGTAAACCCTGGAGAAGCCCCCGCTCGCCCTTCTGCCTAATTATCTAGCCAACAGCCAAGACACCCGACAAACCAGCTTTTCCACACCAAGAATTCAATGTTGAGGAGGAAACATCAATTCCCTAGGAGGCTCAGCTCTGCCCCTGATCATGCCCATCTGTAGTGAAAGGTCGGTCAGTCTCTTCCCAAGCATGTTGACTTCAAGTCATGCCTGGCTTTTTAGAAAACTAAGCAGCTCTCTTCCAGTATATTTTTGTAACCACGTGGCTTAATAGGGACTAAAGTTTCCCTAGCCCTGGGGAGAGCTTTTCCAAATATTTTTAGAAAGTTAAAAATATAACAAAACAAACCACTCACAAGCTGCCTGTTAAAAGAGGGGAGGTGGGATTTGGCAGACTCCTGGGGAAGGGCTGCCTAGGCAGGAGTCAGATGGCAGGGAGGGAGGAGGACGGAAGTCTTGGTTTGAGGGTAAACGGTTTAATTTGCAACAGAGGAAATCAGCTGTCTAATTTGCCATCATGTGGACTTACATTTTAAGGGCAGGGGGAGCAAAAATAAACTGTTACAAGGTGATAGGTATATTTGCTGGAGGCATGGAAGCAAGCAGCAATCATAACTTTGCAACTTATTGAAAATTGCTGGCTTGGGCTAGAACACCTGGCTGCTAGTTGGGGAGTTAACTTCTTACTCCATACTCACTACAGATTTGTGCTAGGTTTGCTGGAGTCACAGAGCTGATCTTGAGGAGAGCAAATATAAGGGGCCTTTGTGAGTGTCTAAACATCTCTCTAAAACAAGTTTGTTCTCCTGTGTTTCTGTAGCAAGCAAAGAATGCCCCCCAAAAATCCCTGTTTTGCCAGTCCCCAGCTTAATCAAAGGAGCGATCCAAATGGAGTTAGCCATGGAGTGCCCTTCCAACACCAGCTGAAGGTGGGAAAAAGAAAAGAAGTGCAGCTCCCAGGGCCAACAGACCTCTGAGCCTCCATAACTAACTCTGGATCTCCCTTGTGAAAAGACCTTTGTCTATTATCCTGTTCCTTGCTTTTTGGAAAACTTGGTGTTGCACTCCTCACCTTTTAGCCAACAGCGCTACTTTGTTGGGCAGGCATGGAATGAAGGACCCCTTTTGAGGGAAAGGACTATGTTTGCATTTGACTTGTAAGCAATAGTTTGGGGATGTTTGAATAGAAGGGCACCTGCTGAGGTGGTACTGCTGCAGAAAGAAAAGAATGAAAAGAAGGAATCCAGCACTCAACTTTCTTCCTGGGACTACAGTCCCGCCACCGCGCGCGCGCGCGCGCGCGCGCGCACACACACACACACACACACACACACACACACACACATACTCCTTTTGCCAACTTCTGTGCAACAGGAAGTAAACAACACAAATGTAGAAGGGGAATTGACACTTTCAGCTGCATGGTTTAGGGGGTGAAAGAAAACGACTTTGAAGCTAAAGCACATTTGGGAGGACTCTGGTGGATCAAACCTAATTGCTAGCAGCAGTGGAATATGAGGTTAATTAAGAAACCTTGGTCTCTGTAGACATAGTGCTTGCCCCTTCATTGTCCACCTATGGAGTCCAAGTTTGGCCTTGAGAGTGAAGGGGTAGCTGGCAGGCTCCTCAGCAGAGTGGCTGGCAGGCTGCTGGCGGGCTGCTCGTAGCAGATGGGTGCTATGGCCTGGTTTGTATTTGAAGGTTTGTTTATGTGCCTTTCCCAACTGGACTTGAGGTCATTCTTTGTGGGAACTTAGAATGTGTGAGCTCCAGTGAATTCCCAGGTCCCCCTTTTCCCCCCAAAGATGACCAGCCCTGGGGCCAGTGCATCGAGAAGCTGTAGCACCCCCAAGCCTTGGAAAGTGCCTTTTTAGGCCCAGGCAGACCATTTGTGAACTATTTAAGTGTGATTGTAAAACCCAACAGCAGCTAAGACAGAACAAGGAGAGTCTGCTGAGTACCCAGGCAATGGGCATTCCCACCGGACACAGTGGCACCCAGCTTCCAGCCCAGCCCAGCTGTTTGAGTTTGTCCCAGCTCAGCGGGAAGAAAATGAGAAGGGCCAGTCCAAACACTTTTGTTAGAATCAAACAAGACCACTTTTAAAGCAAATTGATGAGCTGGAGAGAAATCTGCAAAACAGTCCCTAATTAGCCCAGGTCTGACCAAGGCGGAGGAGGCAATTTCCTCCTGGATTTCACCTCCTTTCTTTCCTCCTTCCTTCCCTCTCCTCCCCAACACACACTCCCACAGCACTCCGCGTTTTTAAAATGTTTTTATAACTCTACTAAGATTCAAACATCAGAGAAAGTTGGAAAATGGGTCTGGATGTGTTTTAGCTGCAGGTCTTACTCCTTTGACTATGTACTAGGGCAGAAGTGAAGATAGAGATGTAAGGAAACCCAGACCGGGATCCAACTCTGTGACTACTTGAGAAGTGACCTTGGGGCTGGGGAAGGTGGGAGAAGCTCCGGAAATGTACACCCCCGCCCCAGTTCTTCCTCACTAGTAGGGAGTGCTGAGCCTCTTGGGAGCTAGTGGGGGAGGGTGGCCTGCGGCTGAGGTCCGGCTCTGGCCTAGGTGCTACGAATACGTACACACTCATTCTCACACACACAGACACACACACAAACACACACACACTCCCAAAGCAGGGAGCCGGCCTCCACTACCCTCTGGGCAGGGCCTCTCATTTTGCAGTCCCAAAAGATCCAGGGACGCGGATAAAAAGCCTGGCACACCTGTCTCAGTCAGAGTTGCACTCCGCTCCAGACATCCCAGCACAGCCAACTCACTAGGACAAGAGACTCGGCTCGGGGCTAGGGGTTGGATGCCCGCTGGGGAATGAGAAGGCCAGGATCAAAGCACGACCAGGGTTTGTTAGCTAGGCCTCTCGAGACCCCCCGGGCGCCCTAATTGAGCGCCCTGCAGCCTCCTGCTTGCGGGCTGTCCTGCCGCGCGGGCGCCCGGCCGTGGGCTGCAGAACAGCTGCGAGGCCCGCATGTCCGCCCGCCTGCCCGCCCGCAGCCCAGCCCCTGCCGGCGTCTCCGCTGCCCAGCGCTCCGGACCCTCATCGCCCCAGGAGGAGCCCTAGGAGAAGGAGGAGGGGCGGACAGACCCGGTTCGGCTGGGGCTGCCAGGCAGGCCGGGACAGCAGGGAAAGTTGGCCGCCTACTTGGCAAACACCAACAGCCAGCCGACAAGCGCAGATTTTCTCCTGCGGCCTCACGAACTGCTCTAAAATCATCCACTTAAAAAGAAAGAAGTTCACACGTATCGAATAACGGCTCGGAAGAGGCCACCGTGAAAAATGGAGCTGTTTTTATACAAGTCAGTCCAACATCTTTACAGATTTTGTAAATTCCTAATATTCCAGAAGGGATTTTGTTTTCCTAAACCAAGTGACACATTTCATCATAGTACATTCTGCTTCAGTAAAATCAGCTCCCTTGGATTTCATCGCTTGTTAGAAAAAGATAAACTTTATTTCTGTAATTTTCAATCACAAAAAAAATCTATATTTTTGTCTAAGCATTTATTTTACTGAATCAAAAAGACATGAAAAGAAAAATCATGTTTTACTAATGTATATAAGTGACTTTTTTAGACAACATATAATAAATATGATATATCACTTATCACTCAGTCTTTCAAATGTACATTTTTTTCATATTATGGAGCATGCCACTTTTCCAAAAGAAAAAAGGTCATGAGAAATCAGTGCAAAGTTCTCAGTTACCCTCCTCTTTTCTCTGGGGCAGTCGGAATGTCCACGGCAACGCCCTCTGCCTCGGAATTTGAGGCTGTTCATCTACAATTCTCTCCGCCTGTGTGGTTTCCTCTCCGTGCCCTTCTTTCTTCCCTCCTTACCCCACCCCCCTCCCTCCCTCCTGCTTGTCCCTAAAGTCATTTTTTAAAAAGAACTTGAGGTTTTGTTTTTGTTGATGTTTTCACTTACTGGTCGCACTTTGTGTGGAGTCGGCATTTTCGCCAGTCACACTGCTGTGCGGGAGCTTTCCAGCCCTGTCTCTGGGGGTGGGGAGATGGAGAGTGGAGGGCTGGCTCCTCTTTGGGCCCCCCCTCCACCCGCTGGTGAGTGTCTTCCTCTCTTACTTCTTTGCTTCCCGGTTGGCTGCAAGGGAGGCCGGACAGCCTGGTGCCGGGAGAGGAGGGGCAGCTGTCCGAGTCGGGGAGGGGACAGGGAGGGACAGTGACTTGCTCTTCACCGGGGATGCGGGGTGCCTGGGATGGGGTTGGACAGGGGATTGAGGGCCGGCTGTCCCCCAGGCCCCAGGCCGTGGATTAGCACTCGGGGCACCAGGGGCCGCTGCAGCTGGGGATGGGGTGCAGGAGGAGTCCGGTACATGCTGCTGTACATGGCGGCGGCGGCCGCCGCGGCGGTAGTACTGTCCATGCTGCCCAGCAAGCTTGGGTGGTAGAAATAAGGCGACGGAAACATCCTCTGCAGTGCCGAGTAATTCCCTGCCTCGGCCAGCAGCTCCAGGCCCACCGCAGTCTGCCGCTTCCACTTGGTCCTGAAATAAAAGCAGGCGTGCGTGCACCCTGCAGCTGTGGGCACTGCCCAGGCACCAAGGCCCGTTCTCCCCCCTCACCTGCCTTCTTTTCCTCGGGGAGCACAGGAAGACTTAGAGTGCGCTGAGAACCAGGAATGAAGCACACCTCCTTGCCTCCTATCCCACCCTTTCCCTCCCAGAATCACCCAAATCCAAGTCAGTTTCCCAAATGATGCCATCAATGTCTGAGACATTCATAAATAAAATTCTCCGATCTTTGCTACCTTTTCCTGACTTTTTGCTCCGACGTTGCCCCCCCCCCTTATTGTTTGGCTACTGCCTGAAACTTTCCTGGAGGCCAACGGAGACCACTCTTTCTATAGGCAGTCTTCTCCCTCCTCCTCTAATTTCCTTCCCCAAGTGGCTCCCCAGCAATCCCAGAGTGTCTGCTCTCTGCCCCTCCCCCTTTCCTCCAGGCTGAGTGAGAAGAAACCGTAAACAAAGGGACACAGAGACTCCTGGGCCTTGGACCCCTGGCCCTCTTGGTCCCCAGGGCTGTGGAGACACATCTCTCTCACCAGCCTGACAGGACCTTATGGCAGGTGTTGGGGGGGAGGGCGGGTTAAGAGCCAGGAAGGTGACAAGGGTTTCAAAACGGAATTCGTTTGAGGGAGGACTCTCCCATGGGGACAGTACCTCGGGGCCATTCCAGGAGGGGAAAAATGCATTTCAGGATCTTTTCTCCTCTGAGAGAGAGTAACAATTAAAACCTGTGATCAGCTCTTCTCGGTCTCCTCCCTCCCCCACCGCACCCAGAGGCAGCAGGCCTTTGCTCAGATGCCTCCTTTGGAACGCAGGGCTGGTGGGCCCTCCATACCCGGCAGCTCCAGCCAAATTAATAAACATGTCGCCCATTTAAAATTGGCTACAAATGACACTAATGTTTTCCGACAGAATTAGGGTGGCTGAAACCGTATGTAATGAGACAGAAAATTATGGTAAAGATGACAACTGGATGGGCATTTCCAACCACACTTATGGACGATTAGAACACAAATGAGAGAAAAGGAGGGGGAGAGAAAATCGAGACAAGGGAGACAACCGTCAGGCTTGGAAACTCGGCATAACCTTGGCCCCAGACTGCACAGGTTGGGTTCACACTGCAGTTCAGGGGCCTACAAGTACTGTCAGCCCCTTTCCTAATTTCCTTTCAAGGGAAGCTGTGGTTCCTGGAGGGCTCTGAGATGGCCAGAATAGGGGACAGACCCTCAGTCTAGATGCCTGACCGGCTGCCAACTCTACCTCTCCCAACTGCCTCACAGGACAAGCAAGGACTTTTAAGCTGAGGCCAGTGGGTCAGCTCTTCCAGGATGGATACAGCCAGACTGTGTGACCGGCTATAGATATTTGGAACCATCCTGGGGCAGGCCCAAAATGGTGCAATGCACAGGTTTTATGGGCCTGAGTGTCTCCTACACCGATGTCTCAGTTTGAAAAGGTGTGGCTTGATTGATTTGGGGGCAACATGGGGTAAATTTCAGCCACTCAGGTTTGAGGGAGAAACTAGCATATGTTAAGGACACTTAGAAGTGCAAAATTCTCCAAACTCCAGCTACCCAACGATCCCTTTCACCTTGGAGGTGTGGCTAATCCCTCCTCCAGCCAGAAAGACCCCGACTGCCAGCTCAGGGCCCTCTGAGTCCTTAGTGTCTCCGAGGCCAGGAGGGAAGAAGATGGGTGTAGTAGTCTTGACCTGGATGGCCAGACGCCTTTGCTCTCCCACATAGCCTCCCTTACCTGCGGTTCTGGTACCAGGTCTTGACCTGGGTGTCAGTGAGATTGAGTGCAGCTGCCAGGTCCATGCGGTCCTGCACACTCAGGTACTTCTGTCGCTCAAAGCTACGTTCCAGTTGATTGAGTTGGTGGTCGGAGAAAGCCGTCCTGGCTTTGCGAGGTTTTTTGGCTCTCACAGGGGGACTCTCTCGGCTACTCGTAATCTCCCGGTCTCCTTCCTCCTTTGTTCCTACATAGAAACCCAGACACGGCCGTAAGGTAGCCTGGAATGGGGAAGGATGGAGTGTCCTCCTGGCACACACTTCCACATTCCCAAGCCAGCTGCTGGTCTGGGGGTGGGGGAACTATACTCTCTCACCTTCCTTATAAACATACTTGGACCTTAGCCAGTATGGAGGAAGAGGACCAACTGCTGGCTAGGGAGTGTGGAGCCTTGTGCAGAGCTCCTAAGAGGGTTCCAAAAGAGTGCTGGATCTTCCCGTCTTTGGAAATGAAAAAGAAAAAAAAATACTTTATGATAAAGGGTCCTTTTCTTAATTGCTTCCTTGACTGGCGGGAGACCCTGTCCCTTTCCATTACTGTTTTCATCCTGACTTCATATTTTCTTATGTGTTAGTTTTTAAAAGGTCTTTCAACTTTTTTTTTTTTTTGAGAAGGGGGCACTTTTTTCATTTTACTTCTCCTGTTTACTAAAAGTTATAGGCATTTGTTTTCCTTCTTTCAGATGCACTTGGGAAATGCTGGATCAAGCTCTCTGCAGCTGCTTGCATCAGGTCTCTTAAAGCTTCAGAAAGAATGTCTCCCAGACACTGTGTTCAGCTCAAAATCACTGAGCCCATCCAGGTGACAGCCCAGAGATTTCCGGATTCTATTTGTCAACTTTGGTTTTTTACTGAAATGCTGGGAAATCGATATGTCAATCCCTCTGTTTGTACCCGTTTTTGCTGCGCTCCTTGATCTTCCCTGCAGGAAGAACCATAATCTCTCTAATTGACCCACTGGGGAGGTTGGTGCACAAAAAATCGCCAGACCAGACTGTACATCTGTTTTGGGCACTATTATGCTAATGATACAATAGTAAAATGAAGAGGCAATATCCTACCTTCCAGACAGTCAGCACACATCTTTCCCAGAGAGGACAAAGATTAATAATAATAATAAGCTTATCAGTAAAGGGAAAAAAGAGAACTCTCCTCATATGTTAAAACTCTTTTGCTATGCAAAGACCAGAACACTTATGAAATTCTCTGGGGAGAAAGTGGGAAAAGGGAGTTGAAGGACAATTCCATTGCCATCTTTTGATTTTACAAAAATAGATATCCAATTCCATAAAATTTTACTTTCATAAATGCTACTTCCCAATTTACTTGTAAGGGCCCAAAACTCTTACTGAAATACAGATATTCAGTTAGCGCCATGGGGTAGGGAGAGTATTTTTTTTAATTGGAACTCTATAATTTTTTACCGTGTGGCCTTCCCTATATTAATCACGATCTAATAATTTTTTTAAAAAAAAGTTTCCCTGTTAATCGCTTCGGAATTTTTCCCTTCGCTATATCTGATAATTCCCGTTCCAGTGTTCAGAAAATACGGTGTGTAGGAAGAATGGAATGATTTGCATTAAATAATAAGCACCACGTTGTGATCACACCCCCTAAGCACTACGAAACACTAAAGTATTTCCCGTCAGACACCCTCCGCCTCTGCCTCCTTCCTAATAAATTAAAATGAAGTAAAACAAAGAAAGGAGCTGGATGGCGGTGAGGGTTGGGAGGTAGAAATGTAACAATAATCAGAACTTGGGACGAGTCTCCAAATCGCACGCCCAGGCCTCCCTCCCGCTTGCAGTTTTTGACCGTGGCGCTATCGCCTTAGAAGCTTAGAATCGCCTTCGAACCCCAGCAGAGATTCGCGGGAGACAGAAGCGGAGACAGGGAAGCAAGAGGAGGAGAAGCTAGACGGCTGAGGGAGCCAAGGCGGCGCGACTCACCGTGGCATTTGATGTCGCTCTGGGACTCTTCCCGCTTGTCGAGTTTGGTTTTGCTGTCCTCCTGCTCGAGCTTTGGCCTGAAGCTCTCGTGTGCTGCGTTGCTCTCCTGCTTCGGGGTGTGGTGGGGAGAGGAGACGCTGGTGCTGTACGGTGCACACGCCGCCAGAGGTTTGCTGTCGCCCAAGATGTCCTTAATTAAAAAAGAAGAGGTGGAAGTCCTGGGGACCGAGGCGGCCGAGCCCAGCTGCTGGGCGGGTGGCTGCGGCGGCGTTGGTTGGGGCGAAGGCTGCAAACTTTGCGTGGGGGCCGCGGCTGGCTGCGGCGGCGCCGGCGGCTGTTGGCTGTGGTGGAGGTGGTGGTGATGCTGGGGGCCGTCCGCTATCACATGCGGTTCCGGGGGCTCCATGGCGACCGAGATAGGAGAGGAAGGCGCCGTTCCTACAGTATCGATCTCCGAACAGGGAGACGGAGTGGCCTGACTCCTAAAATCCGCGGTCCTGGCCTCGCCGAGCGGGCGGAAATCTCCATTCATCATGCCGGGGCTGCCCGAACTGGCACTGGACAAAATCGTGTCTATTCCAAAACTCGACCCGCTGGCCCCTTCCATTGTTGTCATTTCTACATGAGGTCCACGCCACTCCGCCGCTCCACTGCCGCCCCGACCAAGCAAAGGAAGCTATCGATCGTAAAGCAGAATAACACGAAACAATGTTGTCGCCGCTTAAAACACAAACAAACAAAAAAAGTGGGGCGGGGAGGGAAGGAAAATTGGGAGGTGGCAATCCGTGGACACTTGCGACACTTTTTTTTTTTTTACCCTAATGCAAAAAGTAGGAGTTTTGGGGAAAGGAAGATGGGGGGAAAAGTTACAAAAATTGTTGAGGAAGCACCGAGCGTGCGCTCCAGGAACGATCGCGCACGTGGCGCGGCGGTGGCTGCGCAGGAGAGCCAGACGGAGGTGCAGGCAGCAGGAGGTGACCCCGACGCCGCCGCCGCTGCTGCCGCCGCCAGGGTCTGCCCACAGCCTGGCACCAGGCGGCAGCGGCGGCGGCGGACGTGGCAGGTGCAGCGACCGCGAAGCCCGGGCAGCCGCGCGCCCTCGGAGCTGCCCAGCGGCTCTCCGAGGTGGTGGCCGCGCGCGACTCGGACGCCCCGGTGCAGAGTTTCTGAACTTTCTTGGAAAGTTGTACAGCAGACACTGCCGCAGTGGTCGCGGCAACAGAGGAGGAGGAGGAAAAGAAGGAGCAGGCACAGGCGGAGGAGGTAGCGGAGTCGCGGCGCCGAGCGACTCCGGCCGCTGCCGGGCGCATTCGCTTGTAATCCGGCGGCTAGCGGGCGGCGCCGACCCCCTCCCATGACGTCACGGCCACTGCCGCCGCTCCACGCGCCGCGCCCGGCCCGCGCCCCCGCCGCCGAGGCCGCGCGCAGGTCCTCGCGCCCCCATTGGCCGCGCCCGCGCGAGCGAGCGACGCCGACGTGCCGGGAGCCAATGGGTGCTCGGCTCGCGAGCCCGTCAGCGGTCGCAGCTCGGGCCCCGCTGCTCTTTTCAGAACCCGCACGTCCCTTTGCCTGCAACCGAAAGCCAAACAACTAGTCGTACCGTGGTCCCGGCGTCCGCAATCACGCGCGAGGGCAAAGGGAAAG